CCCCCCCCCCCCCCCCCCCCCCCCCCCCCCCCCAGAGACGTTTTGTAAGGACCAGCACATTGTGGCGTACGTCAATTACTGTAATAGTCCCAAGTAGCACATAACATTGAGCCAGCATTGAGTGTCGATTAAACATCTGAATGTTGATTCAAAGCTGATTCCATGTTTTTTGCTACTTGAGACTGCACTCAAAACTTCCAAATCAATTTCATCAGCACAGAACCAATGGGATATGCACTCGCACATCCCCTCGTCGTCTTTCCTCTCCAGTACCCGGCCCCATTCTGGTTCGCTCAACGAAGCCTACCCTGTTCACTCTCCTGGAGAAGGTCCCCACCGGAACCCTTGTATGTTCAGAAAAAACTACTTTGCCCCCTGCTCTCTGTATCTCTGGAAACTCTGCCAATCGGGAAGTTCGACAAGAAGAAACTTTTTGTTGATGCTCTACACGGAAGAATTTCGGGGAAATTCTGTCTTATGAAAGTATCGAATATAAGTTTTAGGAAATGAAATATTGAACGGAGATGTATGAAATGCTCTCAGACGTTTATTCAGAATCAGAAAGATATCATCTTTGGCAATGATGGAAAATAAATCCCTTTTGTGGGGTTTAGCTGTGCGATACAGATGGATAGGGCAGATGGATGACAGAGGAGATGAAATGCCAGAAGAGTATAAGAAGTCTGCCCAAAGAAGGTCTTTAACCATGATGATGATGATGATGATGATGATGATGATGGCCATGACCACCATATCCTCCGTATCCTCCGTAGCCTATGAAGAAGAAGGGAGAGAAAAAATACAATGAAAACCTCAATATTAAAGAGCCAGGGGACCTTAGAAAATTTATTTTTCCCTAACGGGAATTTCTGGGTAACTTATGAATTCTGTTTCAAAATATTAGAATTTATTTTCCTTTTTCTTAAATATATCTATAGATCTGCAACTTAATTTATCCGGGTTTTTCGAATAGATACCTTCAATCCTTAAAGCCTGAGAATTTAAAAATTCCCGCTGATGCTTGTACATCTCTGTCACATTCGTGTTCCATAACATAATTTAGACGGAAATAGAATAACATGTATTTGTTTTCGCGTTTACTCCGTCTTTCCCCTCCGAATTTTTGGTTTTGGTACAACCGATATTGGCTGAGGAAGACTCCTTGGGGACTCACTCACGTACAGCAGACGAAACTAAAAGGAATTTGACATATTCTAGTCTGAATTGCATGCTCCCTTTCCCTCATAATTTCTCCCATTCTTTAAAATCATTTGACGCCATCATTGGGTTTGGATGTTAGCAGAATGAAAAATTGCCTTCTATGCGTGTGCTACTGTGCATATACATGTGTTATTCATTATTGTGCTGAGAGTAATCTCATAATGAGAACATAATGAAAATTTTCCTTGGTTTCTCATCACCGTACCAGTCAACAGAGCGCAATAGGTATGTATAACCAATATGACGATAATATGCTAAGCACAACCCTAAAATTACCTCCATAGCGGCCGCCACCATAACCTCCATAGCCGCCGCCACCATAGCCTCCATAACCTCCGTAACCGCCCCCAGGGTAGCCTCCATAACCTCCGTAACCGCCCCCAGGGTAGCCCCCATATCCGCCATACTGGGCGGATTCAGCAGGGGTGAGGTCTTCACTGTCGTCTTCGTCCCCATGGACTAGAGCCATCAGGCACAATAACCCAAGCAATCCTAAAACCTGTATGAACATCGACAATTCGATAACAACCCTTTGTCTATAAGAACACGAAGCAATAATAACATCAAACTCATCCTTAAACTTAAAATCCTCCACCTGATTGTCAAAACGTAACATCAAACTTAGCGAGAATGTCATGCAAACGTCAAGTGGAAGTTCGTCGGAAGAACTTTAATACCCTCGAAAGTATATTTCAGGACTCTGCATTAGAAATTCGAGAAGTTAAATTGTCTTGAAATGGAAAGCAAAAAAAGAATCGGAAAGTATTTGAACGAAATCATGTGAATGTAGAAGTATCTCAAGTTTGGCATCGAATCATTAGTACAGGAGAATGAAAGGATAATAAAGGTCTTGATTATATGGCCAAGGTGTCTTATTTCTGACTGCGATAAATATTGACTGGATATTCGTTGGATATTCCCGAAAATTCAAATTAGCCAATCTAAGGACGAACTCACGAGCTTCATTTTGAAGGTTTCTGCGTAGTTCCTGACAGAATCGCTGAGAGCACAGGAAATCAAACCTTCGTTGAATGAAGTGGTAGGAGAAGAATGAATGGGTTTGGCCCAGCCGGGGCTATTTATACTGTATGGTGTGATGCGGAGTGCCCATGACTTTCATAATTTAATAATGAGCGGCCTTCATTCTTACCCTTCAGATGTCAATGAAGCTTCTTCTTTAGGGGAAGAAGGAGCTTCGTCGTTAGCCTTTGGGGTTTCCCAGCAGGAATTTAGATAATTATCTTTAGTGATTCGTACAATTGTTCCAGTAGACCAGGGCTTCCCAACCTTTTTCACGTGCGACTCCATAAATCACGCAAAGAAAAACATGACTTGGTTTTTAGTTGCCGGTTCGCGATCCCAAATGGGGTCGCGACCCTGGGTTGGGAAGCAGTAGACTCTCTTCCCCCTCATATAGCTAGCAGCTTTCCGAGACATTTCACGGAGACCTTGAAGCCTTGAAGACCTTGAAGACCTTTTCCCCTCAATATCCTGAAGCATAGTATTCTGTGGATCTTGGCCCAACTCCATATTCTTCATCTGTCCACATAGCTAAGTGCAACTGGGAGAGAAATGCACGCATTTTCACATTTTAAGAAATCATTTTCTTCTCTCCATTTCAACATTGCAATTGGGAGAATCATACGAGCTATTTTCCGCATTGCTGCGTGAAGCTACAGGACCTTGAAATTGAGAGCCTCACTTTGACCTTGACGGGAATTCTGTCACCCTTAATTAAATGAACTCTCTTGTTTACTACATTCAGAGAAATCGGTAAATCGAAATGATACACTTCGGTCAATTTTTACATTTTGATTTTTTTTTCTCAAGATGATAAGGTATCAACTGAATTTCCAATTCATGTTAGTCTCTTCCCGACGGTGCCGAGTCACCTAAAAGGCATCTGCGAACCGAAATGCGTTCATACCCGAGACAAGAGGGGAGGTTTGAGTGGCCTTGCACCGTCTAGTCGCATGTCAACCTCCGTCTTCCACTTCATCGTGTGCATGAAACCTCTTGGCAATGCGATGACTTGAGGAATTCGCATCCAATCGCGTGGGAGTGCGTGGCCTCGCGCACTATCACCTTCCCTCCGGCCCACGATGAATTTCTTGTGTCCCTTGTCCTGTCGATTGCGAGTTTCATGAACCTTGTGCGTGGATACAGTACCCATGAAAACAGGAATAATTATTTATCCCTTCTGAGGTTACATAAATGAAGCACTGCATAGCAAATGGTATTTCTATTTAAAAAAAAATAAAGATCATTCCTTCAGCTCCAGAGGTAAAAGTTAATATTTTGGTGATTGTCTTTTTCGCCGCCATGGAAGTCGCCGAGATGAAACTGGAGAGAATCTCGCTGGTTCAGAGTGAGATCTCGCAGGAATGCCGTGACGTTGTGCGATTTTTTTAAATATTTATTGACTCCTGTCTTTCATAAAAATTCAGGGTGCATTGCATAAAACTTATTTCAGCGCAATGAAGCTTTAAACTTTCATTAGTACCGCTAAAGGAGGTTTAAAGTTTTATTACGCTAAAGTTAGTTTTATACAATCCGCCCTTTGCCTGTAAAGAAATATGTTATCCTCAGCGGCCGTTCAGTTTGTGGGAAAACTTCAACTGGTTAGTCGAAAACTTTTCCCCATTTTATTTTTGGCTCTGATAAGCAAGCCTAACTTGCTAGACTAGCTAGTACTTTCCCATACCCCTTTAAAAAAAAATTAAAAAAAATCAAACTTCCGGGCTGGTTGCGCCATTAAACCAGACAGCAAGCCAGAATGAAGTAGGATATGGATGGCTGGAACTAATTGGGGGAAGTGACAAGATTGAAATCCGAGTGTATCCACTCTCATCCGTCCGCGACCCAGCACGGAGAGTAGAGCCGATTCTATTTCTGTCATCACTTCTATCTTATCCTCCTTGCGAGGAAGATGAACTCCCTTGTCTGCCAGCAAACATGTGAACGTTGGCGAAGTCTCCATTTAAACATGTGAGACAGCTACATGCTGGACGGAAGAAGGCCTCGAATTATATCCGAATTCCTATTACTCAATGGTGTTTCTTTGTGCGTTTTTTTTTTCTTCAGATCAGGTATACATTTCTCCCCACCTGCCCATCCGAGTCCAACAATGCCTCGCATCATTGATACCATGCTATCAGAGATCCGAATCCTTTTGCTAATAAGCACTGTTTCCTATTGGAGAGTCGCTCCTTTGTTCCCCCAGTGCATTGCCGAAACCCTCATCTGACTTTTCTCACAATCCAGGCCCTGACTCTGTCATTAAAAAGACTGGTCTTTAAACTTTCAACATTGAATGGAAGGAAGTTTCGAAGGCAACTTGCTTATGCAATGGTGTCTTTGCATGGATGCTGGCTCCTCAGCTTTCATCAACTCTATTCTCTTGATTCCTACGGCAGAGAATAAAATATCTCGTTATTATAGATTTGGGGAGTATTTCAGCATGGTATCTGCAACGGGTTCTCAACCTCTCCAATGGACTTCGCTGAGGTATTTGATGTTCCATTTTAACTCCTTCGATTTCAGCCATTAGCTGTACCGCCCCAGTCTGCACAACATTGGTAATATGTTGACGATGTTGAGAGGATGTTGATGATGACCCCATGTAAAGTCAAAATTGACGCAATGTTGAAAATATAAACATTACAAAGACATTCAACGGCCGACATTACATCAACATATGTCGGGTGAGACATCTGGCGAGACATTCGAACAATGAAGGCTTCCTAATCCAGATGTGAGATGGCGACAAATCGCTAACACAGGGAGTTACCTCATATATGCAACTGGCACGCGTCCCCAGTACCTTTGGAACGGTACTTGATATTTTCTCTACAGACGGCACTGGGGAAAGTATTTGAATTCCTGGATACATTCGACGAAAGAGACAACTCAACCCAATGAGATCCAGGGTAATTCTGGCCCGGGATACAGAGAGAAGAAAGTTCACGTGTTGTTATGACTCGATGAGAAATCTGCGGTCTTATCACAGCCACCTCATCTTGAACTGCATTCACTTATCTGTTCTCCGTCCTTTTGTAGGACCTTATCTGCTAGTGACATGAGCCTGCCTATTGACATGCTTTTGGCATGAGCCAAACTTTGATCGGTCGGCGGGCCGCATTCCTCATCCTGCATATGCCTGCGGGCCGCACCAATACTTTTTCAGTGAAATTTATGTAACAGTCAATCCAAGCGGAAATTTCACGAACAGACGGTGGGCCGGATGTTTGACACCCCTGGCATAGAGTCTATGTCGAGATGGGAGAAGGTGCTGAGACCACATTGACGACTCACGGAATACATCAGTAATCAAAAGGAGCATGCTCCTTCATCCCCATATGCCATTTGGTTGGCGCATGCGCACTACACGATGAGACAATTTTGAGACCTGTCTCATTTCAACATTGAGGCAATTTTGGTTCAATGTGGTGGCGAATGTTCTACAACATTGACTCAACATTGTGGATGTTGGGGCTCCGATGCTGTTACAACGTTGCATTAATATTGATGTGCAGACTGGGGCGGAATCATTGGAGCAGCCCTACTGAATACGGAAGCATGCCCTGCCTTGACCCACCATCACCTCCACCATGCACTTCGTGGTTGTCATTCGTCTCCTTTAGCCTGTTTGCCTTTTAACGTCCTTTCGATGTTTGATTGACTTTATGCCTTAGACCTGCTGTAAAATAGGGCGACTGTGAGGATGCAAGGGCATTGTAACGGTATCTCCTTCGTAGGCCCTGCAAACTCAGCAAAGGCAGGCCTGGAACTTGAGTCCTACTCAAGATCTTTGGTACCCGCACCCACGAGAGAAAAGAATTCCGACCAGACGTTGTCAAGGCTATGAAACTCTCCCAGGATTTATTTAGCCTCCAGTACCAAGACTGCCTTCCATCATGTTCACAACAGCAAGAAATCTAGGGAGGGAAATCTTGAAAATCCCATTTTAGTGAACCGAGAAGAGCCGCCATAATACATACCAAAATGGCTTGTAATTGCAGCAAATCGATTATGTTGTGTGCCACCTGCAGTTCTTTTTCTAAGCTCAGTGGCTGGAACGCATGCTAGCCACTGAGCTAAGAAATAGAACTGGAGATGGCGCACAATACAATGGATTTGGGGCAATTGGAAGCCATCTTAGTTGGGTCCGTGGTGGCTCTTCTCCATTCGCTACAATGGGATTTTCATAATTTCCCATCCCAGTT